CTTTATTTGAGAGAGAGAATGAGAGATAGAGAGCACGAGAGGGAGGAGGGTCAGAGGGAGAAGCAGACTCCCCGCTGAGCAGGGAGCCCGATGTGGGACTCGATCCCGGGACTCCAGGATCATGACCTGAGCCGAAGGCAGTCGCTTAACCAACTGAGCCACCCAGGTGCCCCGAGGATCCCTAGTCCTGTCAGGAAGGCCTAGAGCACCCCTCTCCCCAATCCTGGCAGGATCCACAGGCTGGCTTTTGACTTATCCTGTGTGCCAGATGTTTACCCACATCCCCTGAGAGGCCTGCCCAGCTGCCCCAGAGCCCAGCAATGCCTGGCCCCGCCTTCAGTGGCCCAGGACCTGGCTGCCAGAGCCCAGATGTTTCAGCGCCCTCCCCTCTACCAACCCCCAGCATCCTGGCCAGGTAATGCCACGGGCCTGGTTCCCGATCCTCCCTCCTCCTCATCCCCCCACACACCTGCATTGTAAGAACACACCTGCTTCCAGTGGCAGCCAGGTGGGCAGTCCCGGCAGGGAGGAGTGTGAGGGGTTCCAGCTGTGGCATCCCAGCTGTGCCCAGCCTCCTGGCAGCACCCTCCTCCCCTGCGATTTCTCAAAGGCCAGGTGTGCCCTAAGACCTGGGTTCTGTGGGGAAGCGGGAGGGGGGCATGGGTGTCCTCTAGGGCAATCCCCCCTTTTTTTTAGAGCAGCCCCTTTGCCTCATAAAAATCCTCCCAGGGGGCAGCTGTGGAGAGGGGAGCAGAGTGGATGTGTGTGTGTGTGTGTGTGTGTGTGTGGGTGTGTGTGTGTGTATACACAGGGTGGGGGTGCTGTGGGTAGGGGGAGGTTGTCTCAGCATGTGGACAGTTCTGAGTGCAGATATGTGCATGAACATGGGGTTCAAGTGTTTTGTTTGTGTGAACATGAGAGGATGTAGTTTGTGACTAGATAAGGAAGTGAGTGTGTATGTGCACACAGTGGTGTGAGAGTGTGTGTAAATGGAAGAATGGGTATTGTGTGTTTAGGAATGGAAGGAGGAGTGTTGTGTGTGTATCTGGATGTTTTATGAGTAGGTCTGTGTGTGTGTGTAAATGGAAGGATGTGTGTCCTTTTTGTGCAAATGTGTCTGAATGGAAGGATGGTGTCCCGTTTCTGCGTGTGTATCTGGATGGAAGAATGGATGTTGCCTGTGTGTGTGTCTATCTGTCTGAATAAAAGGATGGGTGTCCTCTGTGTGTATGTGTGTGTGTCTCAATGGAAGGATGTTATGTGTGTGTATATGGATGTCGTGTGTGTGTGTGTATGTGTGTCTGAATGGAAGGATGGGTGTTGCCTGTGTGTGTGTGTGTGTGCGTGTGAGTATGAGCAGAGGGATGAATGTTGGGTTGTGAGTGTGTATGTGAATGAAGGATGGATGGTGTGTGTGTGTGTGTGCAAATGGAATTGTGGTGTGGGTGTAAGTGGGTATGGGAAGCTGGTTCAAGCAGAACCTAGGTTTGGGGCCAGAGGCAGGACCAGGAGGGTGATAAGGGAGTGGGCAGACCCCAGCCCCAGGGTCTGGCATGACTGGTGGACAGGGCTGGGAGGACAGGCCATCCGTTGTGGGGAGGACCGGACCCAAGTTGGGGGAGGGGGGCTTCTGAGGGGCGTGGCCCTTCATGCCCATTTGCAGAGGGGCCGGTGGGGGGGTGGGGTGTCTGCCTGGCTCTCAAGCTCCCTCCCAAGCCTCCCAGCTATATTAAAGGTGCCAGACACCCCAACCCTCTGCATTTCTTTCCTGAGCCATCCAGGCCCTAGTCCCCCTGGATCTCTAAATCCCTTTCCTGTTCCTTCTTTCAGCCCCTCCCAGCACCCCCACACCCTGGTCCCCCATGCAGCATGAGCCTGGCCCCTTCTCTCCAAACCATTGCTCACGAGCCCCCTGCCTTCCTCCTGCAGTGGTGCTGGGGAGGAGCTGCTGCAACGGCCCTGAAACTTTAAACGGTGTTAAAAGTTTCTGTTTACGAGAAGCCCTTGAATTTTTAAGGACGTATCGATTCCCTCTGCTTCGGCCTTGCCTCGGTAGCGGCTGTGACATAGTGGGGGAGGCCATGTGGGACCCGCAGGGTTCTAGGGACATAGTCCCTGAGGCACTGAATGACAACACATGGACCCAGACACACCCTCAGGCACACAGAGACCCCCTCCCTGACACACGCACACACACACACACACACAGAGATCCTTGTCACAGCCCCAGACCCACAAAGACCACCCCGCAGGAACACACTCCTAGTAACACCCATTAACACTCTCTGCCACCCAGACCCCGATCACGGACACACTCACTGGGACCCTTGCCCACTCGCCCCCTTCATCACTCACCCTCTGGGACACACAGACCCATATCCCTGCCACACATACACAAGTTCATCACACACACTGACACTTTCGGACAGAAAGACCCTCAGAGCCGTTGTACACATGTGGTCAGCTTGAAACACACATATTCATTCCCCATGCACCCACATCACCAGTACTTCCTGTCAAACCCAGACCCCACCTACACGGGACCCCCACTAGAATGTCAGCCCTTGGAGGGCAGGGCCTTTTGTTTTGTTTCTTACTGTGTGCCCAGCACTTGACACGGGGCCTGGCAGATGCTTACCCTCTCTGACTCACAGACACCCCCAAGCCCACCGAGAGACCCACCACTACACAACACTGGTCCACACAAAGAGACTCCTGGATGTACACTGACCTGTGTCTCTTCCCCCAGAAAACACCCAGACCCACACAGATAGCTGAGGACACAACTCCAGTCATCCTGCCTCAGTGATGTAATGTGACCACATGTGATCACACACACACACACACTCACTCCCTTGTGTCTGCTTGCAGGGACTCAGTGGGCACAGTCATGGCAGCCCTGCACAGCCAGCCCTGCACGCATGCATGTGCACACATACCTGGGTACCAACACCCCTCCAACAGACAATGCCCGGCTTAGAATTGCCACAGCTTCTTGGCCCGGGAGGGCGAGAAGGTGTTGGCTGTACCTGGCAGCAGGAGAGAGCTTTGTCTCGGCAGGATCTGCCCAGGGGCTGCAGGCACCGCCTCCCCGCCCACCTCGGGGGTCACCTAAGGGCTCCCCCTGCCCCCACACCAGGGTCCTCAGTACCAACTTCTGCCCGCATTCCTTACCGCTCTGGAAATGAGGGTTCAGGGGCCTGCATGAGAGACTGGAGTCTCACGGGGGGTGGAGGGGGGTGGCAAGAGTGTACATGTACCTGAGGCCTCCATGCCCATTTCTGTCCCTGCAGGTCGGGCTCTGTGGCACCTCCTAGATCTGTGTGTCCATGATCAGGTCCAAGTACAAGTGTGTTTGTGTGTGTGTGTATTTGCATGAGTGCCGTAAGGGTGGGTTGTGGGAGGGGCTTGGGTGTATGTGTGTCATACCTGTGTGCATGGCTGGGTGAGCCCCTGGACTGTTGGTCAGTGTACCCAAGGCCAAGGGGTACATCTGGGCACCAGGTGTGTCCTATGTATGTCCCTGTGTTGTTGTGACTGCCAATGTCACTTTGTATCAGTGACACTTTGTATTTCTTTGTATCAGGGTCAGTGTGCTCCTTCCCTGTGTCATTGGGCTTGTGCATGCAGGTATCTGATGGCGTATGTTTGTTTGACAGTGTATTAGCACATCTCCCTTTTATTAGTGTCATTCTGTGTGCCCGGCTGGCTACTGCCAAGATGTTTTGGTGTGGCTTTGTGTGTGCCTTCGGGTGTCTATATATAGGAGTTGTATGTCTGGAGCGCTCCACAGTGTGGTTGCGTGATCATGCATGTCAGTGTGTCAGTGTGCATATGTACGTGTCAGCATGCCCTGGTGTGTGTGTGTCTTGGTGTGTATCGGTGTGTGTCCATGTGAGGCCCGCGCTGGCCTGTCTAAACATGGTTCCTCGTTGGAATGCGTGTGTACAGGTTATCATCACGTGATGGTGGGCCTGTGTGCCTGTCAGCGTGTGGGTCGTGGGCTGGTGTGCCAGGGCGTGTGTCTATGCTGTATGTGTGTAGGTGTCTGTGTGTGCTTCGTTGTTGGAACGTGGAACGTGTGGCAATGCGTTCTGTACGTGACATGTGTGGCGGGGTCCGAACCCTGCTGTGTGTCAGCGTGTGTCTGCGATGGAACGCGGGCCAGCACGTGTCGGGGTGGCTGCGTCGGTGTGCGCCCCCGCGCGCGCGCGTGTGTGTGCATGTGTGTGCGTGTGCGTGTGTGTGTGTGTGTGTGTGTGTGTGTGTGTGTGTGTGAGCGCGCCGGCCGCCGCTCCCCCGCCCTGCCCGCCCCTCCCCGCGCCCCTCCTCCCGCCCGCGCCGCCCGCCCGCTCCCTCTCCCCGGAGTGCGCCGCTTCCAAACTTTGTCTAAACTTTCACTTTCACAGCGCGGCGGCGGCGGCGGCGTTGGCGGCGGCGGCGGGCGAGGGTGACCGGCCGAGCGGCGGCGGCATGGAGTAGACGCGCAGCGGCGGCGGCAGCAGCGGACGCGAGAGGCAGCGGCGA